TTTAGGCCAGAGGAACAACAAAGGTAAAGCTTTAAAGTAAATTTCCACAATTAGTTTTTTCTCAACAAAGCAAGTGGGCTTTGTGATGGTGACACAGTGCACAGTGCATGGTCTTAATCCTTCCTGGACCTCAGTACCATTGGGAGCTTACAGGACTCCTGCATGACGTTGTTCCTGAGCCAAGGGTTCTGCAGGCAGAGCAGATTGTCACTGTGTGCAGGGGTGAACTGGGACCTTGGAGGTTTAACAGTCCATGCATTTTCCCTTAGGGAGAGTAAAAAACACTGAAATGTGTTAGAAAGAAGATCCCCTAATCTTGCAGAAGGAGCAGATCTGGAGTCTTTGCACATCTTGACAACATATTTTGGGCTACTCCTGAGTAACCTCAGGGTTCTGATGCGTTTGATCACTGGGCAGGGCAGGTGGGACAAATCTGCCTAGCAGCTGGCACTGCATTATTGCTTTTGCTGGTGCTTTTTTTAATTCAACTTGAAACCAGCCTTGGAGATCCAACATACATCCTTTTCCCGAAGAAGTCAAGCCTTGTTCAACCGATCCAGGTGCCTCAGGCCTGCACCTTGAGTCATGGCTGGTCCCAATGCAGTATGGATGTGCCCTGGGACCACACGAGGTGACACCACAGAACTGTGTGAAGCAAAACACAGCTGAGCCCGTGTCCCTGCTCACTGCTTCAGTGCCAACATGCTGGCAATGAACCTCCTTCCCCATTGCACCAACATATCATACATAAACCCATGGTGGAGAGGCACTCTTGCTGTTATTTCTGCCACTTTCTCATGACTGAACGTGGTGGATTCCCTTTGGTCTCTCCTGCCATCATGCTGCTAACTCCACTCCTGTACTGGARGCTGTAGAGGCTGAGCAGGCAGAGGAAAGCAGCTTTCCAGAGAGCTCTAGCCCACTTCTGTGTTAATAGGGTAATGCTAATCATAGAATCATAGAATGCTTAAGGTTGGAAGGAGACCTTGTCTTAAAGTGTGGAGCAGAACAGAAGGCAAAGTTCACATTTTGGGGTCCATGTTTATTAACCCTGCTTGGGGAGGAATAATAATTAACATTAGCTACCTAGGAAATCTAATGATAGCCTTTTRGCTAGTTTAAGAGAATTACAATACAATTATCATTGCTCTTTCCTTTTGTTATATCATTAGRAGTAATCTGTCAGGAGCACCTTATCTGCCATGCATGTGCATTTTAAAAGTCAAGGTTAGAAGTCAGCATATAGTCTAGCACCCCTCTCTGAAATACAACTTTCAGGAGGCCCTCTCTATCTTATTGCATTAAACTGTTAGGCATTGCTTTTGTCATCAATGCTGTCCCCACTAAGTTCCCAAGCATATTTTCTCTTAAGCASGTGTAAATTCACTAGTTTTAAAGAGTTTTCTCTGGGTTTATGAAAACTGAGCAGAAAATTTGTATTCAAGCATAGAATCACACATAATAGATGCTGGAAGGGACCTCTGGGGGTCTTCTGGTCCAGATGGCGAAGGCAGGGCCTGTTCAGCTGAGTATTGGGTATCTCCAAGGATGGAAATCTGCAGACATTGCACTGGGGGCCCTAGTTCTAGACCACAGTAGGATTTTTTTTTTCCCCTAATATCTAATAGAAAATTCCTGTGTTTCTTTCAGTGGCGTCCAGTGCTTCTCTCACTAATTTCTTGCATCCTGGAGCCAAAATTGAACACGGTCCTGCAAATGTGGTCCCACAACTGCCAAACAGAGAGGAACAATCACTTCTGTCAACCTTCTGGCAACAGTCCTGCTCATAAGGCCCACAAGCCAGCTGGAGCTCTCCACAAAGGGCACACTGCTCCGTCATGATCAGCTGCTCCACCAGGACCTGAGGTSCTCTTCTTCACAGCTGCTTTCTCACCAGCTGGTGTCCAGCCTGTTAGCACCTCCCAGGCTGCAGCACTTCATTATTTTACATTATATTATTTTGCATATTAACAGACCTAAATACTGTATCACAAACAGTAATGTTAAGTGAAGCAATCTGTATAAAATATGCCCATTAAAGGGAAAAATGCACCTTAGTCACTTGATTTTCGCAGCGTTGACTTATTTGCTGGGTAGGTGAGGGCATTCCCCCTTCCAGCCAAAGTACAGTGCTTCTGACATCAACACAGCAGCCATCTCAGATAGATACAGGAAACACGTTTTATTTATCACACTGTTATCAAAGGGAAAGCACCAAGATGCATATTAGTATTGTACCACAGAGAGAACTTTGGCTTTCATAAAGGAAAGATGGTCTGATCATAGGGATTTATTACTTCAAAGATTTTCGATTTGAACATAGAAAATGTTCCTGACTGGCTTAAAGCTTCCTGTTAGTCGCTGAACATTTAGTTGTTGATAAAAAGGCAATTTCCTTGATTACAACAGCAGAGCACAGGAAAATCAATTTTTTGAGTAGTAGGGTGCCTTTTCCTTGATCTAATACGTAGCTCCTGAAGGATACCTCCACATTCATTGCCTTGTTATTTAGGTTTTATGTTTTGTTTTAAAGACCTCATTTGACAGGGTTTTTGGAATCAAAGACATGAAATACTGCATACCCACTGCAATTTTTAATGGCTGTGTTTTCTGACAAAAGCAGGCTTTTAGTTAACATGAAAACTTGTGTGGAAACTTTCCACTGCAGTTTACACTTGACATTTTCGAGTAACTAGTAACTGTAAAACTGAAGAATTTTGAAGCTAATTAAAAATAAAAGTGTTTCTGGTTTAGGGTTTTATATTTATTAAAAGCATTTTAAAACATCATCATAAGCTTAAAAGAAATGAAAGGGATTTTTTAGTGTGAAAATTAATCAGCACTTTATGATCAGCTCTGGTAGAAATCTCTATTAAAAAGTTTACACTGGCAAAGATAATCAAACACAGGAAAAAAAAAGAAACTATCAGTAGTGTTTAATTCTATCTTAATTTGCACTTCACTGTCTTTGAAGTATGGTCACTACTCAAATATCTTCGTTAGGGAATATTTTCTTTCCTTCTGACTAACCTAGTGAAAGCAACTCAAACTTTTCACATTCCAATCGAGTTTTCATATGCTACAAACTTCCTCTGTAATCTCCTTGCACAGATATCAGAAGWTATAATTTTCAGAAGTGATTAATTTGCAAAGAACAGTACTTTACAAAGTACTACTGATAGACACAACTATTGACTGGTATTGCAAAATAATACTCAAGAGAAAGTCAGATGGAAGGAAGACAGAGGGCAGGACATTGGGTACAGAGCTCTGACTTCCTTTTTGGAGGCACGGAGGAGTAAAGTGAATCAAGCTGATGACTTAAGCTTAATTTCTGCTTCCTTCTCACAGTGGTTGGGCAGTTGTCTCCCTGTTTCTCCGCAGGGCAGGATCCAGCCCAGCTGCCTGTGATGTCCTGCTAGCACCCGAGTTTTTCAGGAGTGTAGAGTCATTTCCTCCTAAAAGGAGGTGAGATTCCTCTCACCACTTTGACCATCTCAGGGTCAGTCACCCAGGCGTCTCCATGCTTGGCCAAGAAGCAATGCCACAGTCAGCCTTTGGAGGGCAATTCTTCAMATGTGACCTTGGCTCCTGTCATGGGACAGGATGAATAACCCTCTCAAATGGCCAGTCTTCTGCATGTGCTGACAGAGCCTACCAGACTAACCTTCTATCAGACCTATTAAACCAGATGTCTGAGTTTTTGTCAGCTCAGCTGACATAAGATGACCTCTGTCTTGATTGCTCACTTTCCATTTTTATGGAAAGCAGCGAGGCAGGAATCCTTGAAGGGGCCCAAGGAAGATTGCTCTGGCCCTCATGCATGCATCTAAGATAGCAGATGGGATCTCCTGGGGACTTGCTTTCAAAGGCACCTGTTGACCATAGGGGGCATTTAGGTACTCGTGTTAGGAGGCTGACTTCCTTGGGTGCCTAACATTTAAATGCAAATGGGAGACACTTGCTGAGGTGAGGTAGCTGAATTCCAGCCTTGCTGACAAGCCACTGCCAGGGGCAGGGTTTTTGGTTCTGGGTTTTTAACCATGGTATGTGACCAAGGACTTAGATGTGTCTGTGCTACAGCCTGGGCCAGTTCCCTTTTGGGCAGTCACCTTCTGGTGGGAGAGAARCCAGGACTTCAACTGCTGGGCCAGCGGTTCAAGGGGTCTGGGGCTCTTGTAGAGCTTCCCAATGACCTGAACGTGCAGCTCTTCTGGCAGCCCCAGCACTGCCTCACGATGTGCTCCCCCAGAGCCCTTGCTCGCCAGGGAATTTCCTTACGGCTTAGCTCTCCCAAAAGCATGTGGGAGCTCCAGATCTCTGCAAAATATCTGCAGAACAGGACACATACCAGCACTCCTGAGAGGCCCTTCTTGGGAACGTGCCTTGCCTCTTCCCTTGAGTCTCAAGTATGCAATTCGTTTGGCACAACCTCACCTGCCTTCCTCCTCCTTATTTACCCCATATTGTCCACATAGCACCAGTTTTCTGCTTAGTGAAGAACCACAAATAAAGTGTCTCATTGTGATGATGGACTTGTAGTTTCTGGTCACTTCTTGAATCATCTTGCATTATTGCTTGAGGGCTAGAAAAAGTTTTGAGCAGAGCGTTAGGCAGAGCAGTCTGGAGAGCAGGACAGCACCCTGTGCTGGACAAGGATATAAAACAAAATGTCACCCTTGCTTCTTTCTGAATGTACCTGAGCCTGCCACAATGCTCATTTTTAACAAAGAGGGAGGTTTACRAAGAGGGTTTTATCAAAGACAAGAGAATTTATCTGGAAAATGTGTCTTTGCAAGGTGGGAAACACTGATGGTCATTGATCCAGGCCTTGGAGGCAGTGTGTGGATCTTTCAGTTCTGTCTTCCCAAGCTACTGTCAGTAACATATTCTATTATAGACTATTAATGTGAAAATCTTGATTATTTGTAAATTGACAACTTGATAATAGAAAGAATATTATGACTTGGGATAAGGACGTATAAGTAGACTTTGGGTAGATGATCCAGTACCAMATGGCAACTTCAATCTCTGTCAGGTACACCAGAATTTTAATTTTCTTATGGATGGTTCTTAATTGTATGGATAAAAGCTATACTTTTTTACACATAAGCAATTTTGCTTTTGTAAAAATAGCATTTTGTAATGGAAGAAAATATTCAGTATCTCGAAAAATAAAAATAAAAAGAAATCATGCTCTTCTTTTGTGTGCAAACCTCCCTAGAAAACATGCTGTGCAGTCGTGCTGCCCTCTCTTGACTTCACTGCACGCCTGCATCTCTCCTCCTCCCGACTCCCAGTTGGACAGGAAAGGATTCATGCTCCAGTTTATTTTCCGCRCATGTTTTGTGCAGAATAATGCACATAATCAAATACAGGCATCACCCCCATGCCATACCGTTGGCGATCGGGCAGGAGCACCGTGGTGAAGGAAGGGTGGCATGCCAAGAGCCACGGTACAAAATGCACTCGGGTGAGCAGCTTTTACAGCACAACATAACCATAAGGGAATTGCATGATTACAGCTTCCTTTGGTCTTTATTGCTCACGGCTGTAAAGCTGCAAGAAAATAACAACATCCAGTTTCCAGCGAGGTCTGCAGGAAGGTTCGGAGAAGTCCTGCCGGCCGCTGCAGCCTCAGGTGCTACCAGCARTGGGCAGGTCCTTCCAGGTGCTGCCAGGCCAGGCTTGATCTCTGTAGTCCTGTGCGTGCTGGGTCCGAAGCTATGGGATCCCCAACACTTTGCAGCAAGCACTGATGGTCCCAGGATACTTTCTTATTGATCAACATCACAGTTAGGCCTTCAAAAATAAAAAGATCAGGCTCATTTGCTCTCCAGCAGTACTGGAGGTGTAATCAGAAAAATCCTTATATACAGAACAGAGATTCTATCCCTCTCTATACGTTCTTTATATTCTGGTAAGGGGTTCCTTCTATATGTACCTACTCCCTCTCCATATATATAGTATAAGAATTGTAAAGGCAGAATTCAGACCTTTCGTTTTCAATCTGGTACTTTCACACAGCGTTGCTAGATGCCAACGCTTTGATTACCTAATGTGCATGCTGCAGRCCCGGCTATATGTTAGTAATGGGTGCATTGCTCTTTTCTGATTTTCTGTCTCTCTAAATAATTTAATTTTGCTGTAATCAAAAGCCTTGGCATTTATGAATATTGCACCTCTCTCTCAAGGGCGTGTGTTTAATGATGTGCTTCTCGCTCTGGGAAATRACAGAACACTGCCACCTTATGGAAATTTTTATTTTATGCAAGAAACCAGAAAGTATGGTTAGAAAATTGAAGAGCTCCTTTTTCACAAAAAAATATTTTCATTTTCTAGCAAGATAGGCAATCAGTATTGCAAAACATGTGGCATATTATCAAGGGGTCGCACTTAGATAGCTTTAGCATAAATTGAAAAGAATATTGCACACGTTCTACAAGAGGTTGTAATTACTGTGAAAGCAAATTGKTCTCACTCTGCTACTGCTCCTCCACAGGCAATGAATGATTCACATTTTCAAATAATGATCTCCTGAGGTGCAAGTAACAGAGGACAGCTGAAAGTGGATCTTTCCTGCTAGAGAACAGGTAGGCTGGAAGAATATAAATAGAATGGAAGATTATGTGAATGAGAAAAAGGTCTCGATATTGTAGCTCTTTTTTTCTTTCCCCGATTAAATGGAAAGTAATTATTTCAGGTCACTTGAAATGTGTTTCTTTACAAAGCGAAACAGCTTAGCTTTTATATTATGAGTACTTTGAAATTTGCATTTATATACTTTCTCAGTGTCATTTAGAGGAAAGGAAGAGGCTGCATTCGGAAAAAAAAAAAAAGAAAGAAAAAAGATTTTGGTTTTCCATGTTTGTTTTCAGTTTGGGTTCATATGATGTGAATCTGTGAACTTCTTTTCTTGATCCGAATGCTCGTTTTAGGGAAGTGAAAGAGCACCAGCTGCACAAGGAGCTGCGCAGCCGCAGCCCTGCTCCCATGTCCCACAAACCAGGAGTGTCCCTCAGTGAGATGTGGAAGGGTGGGCAGCAGCACAACACTCCGAGCACCCCCGCACCCGAAGAGGACTTGCCCATTGGGGTTKGGCATTTAGTCCTTTGGGATGTTGCATTTAGCCCGTTGGGGTGTTGCGTTTAGCCCTAGCAGTGATGTCTCTGCAGGTGAGGGGTACGTCCTTGGCCCTGTGCACACTGGCGCTCCAGCATCCCTGGGCAGCGGGCGGCAAAACGGACTCCCGTGTCTTGTACCAGAGACACTGCTTTTAGTAACAGCTACGAGTTATGTACTTGAAAGCACGCGGAGCGCGGCTGCAATTCAACCAATAAATGGTCACATGCAGAATAGGCCAATAASCTTCTTAATCATGTGCTAGCCATGCGTTTGCTGGGGTTTTTTTGCATAGTTTCCTTATCTTCTGACAAGACATGCCATGCTGCTGTCCTTGAGGCTGGCCTCCACATCCTTGCATCCCTGCAGTCCCACATCCAGGCATCCCTGGACCCTGTGGAGCCTTTGCATCCTCCGCATCTTTGTAACCCTATATCCTTGCACCTCAGCACCCTTGCACCCTCAGATCCTTGTAGACAGAGCATCCTTGAAGCCCTGCCTCCTTGTACATCATGCATCCTTGCATTCCCAGATTGTTGCACCCCCAGCTCCTTGTAGACAGTGCATTCTAGCATCACTGCATCCTTGTACAGCACACATCCTTGCATTCCCAGCACCTTTGCACCACCAGATCCTTGTATACTATGAATTTCTACACCAAGATCTTTGCAGCCCTGCATCCTGGTACCCCGTGCATCTTTGCACCCCCAGCATCTTTGCACTGCAAACATCCTTGTATCCCTACACTCTTGTACCTGAGAACTCTTGCACCACCGTGTCCCTGTACACTATGCATCCCTGTGTACCATGCATCCTTGCACACCATGCATCCTTGTACACCATGC